GGTGTCGGTGGTCGGTGTCTGGTGTCTGGGTGCTGGGCGAGCGGGGCAGGAGCCTCCGAAGGAAGAGGGGCCTCGGCGTGCTCCGGGCAAGTTTGCGATCTGGGCGCGGCGCTTGCTCAGTCCGGGCAGGGCAGAGAGCTGGGCAGCCCACGTGGCCGCCTGGGAGGGTCTGAGTAGTCTGGGGTTTCTAGACGGCAGTAATAACTGAGCGTCGGTGTCTGGTGTCTGGGTGCTGGGCGAGCGGGGCAGGAGCCTCCGAAGGAAGAGGGGCCTCGGCGTGCTCCGGGCAAGTTTGCGATCTGGGCGCGGCGCTTGCTCAGTCCGGGCAGGGCAGAGAGCTGGGCAGCCCACGTGGCCGCCTGGGAGGGTCTGAGTAGTCTGGGGTTTCTAGACGGCAGTAATAACTGAGCGTCCGGCTGCGCGTCGCCCTTCTGTCGCAGCCTTCCGCGTCCTCTGTGTGCGCTGGGCCCTTCGCGCGCAACAGCCGGTACCTATTCCGGCAGGTGGACCTGCAAGCGAGCGCGGGCACACTCACGGCGTAAGGCCATGTGGCCTGCCAGGCGGAGATCCTGGGAACCGGTTTCTGCCTGTGCTGCATTCCCGGGCGCCTTCCCCGAGAAAGCACCAGGGGCGCCCCCACGCGGGGCCTGGGCACGGTGGGAGCAATGGGTATAACCGCACTGCCCTGCTGTGGACCGGCTGAAGACTGACACAGAAAGGCGCCCAAGCCAGTCGGACCATGGCCTTCCTCAACTAAGTGAGCACCCTTGAGCTCTTCCGACCTTTCTTCTGAGTTCGCGGGTGCTCTAAAGAGCCACAGTTTGTATGTTTTCTGAGGGGTCTCTTTTCTATAGGGTGTCACAGAAGCAAGGTGGCACCTGCCTCTTTCTAAGCAAAGATTCTCTTTGCCTACGCAAATGCTTGCATTTGATTGCTTGTGTAAAAGAAACAACGTGGATACAATTTTTTAATTGAATAAGCAGAAGGCATAGTTAGGCATAGAATGGCACAAAAGTGGAATTTTCTAGATAAATATGCAGATGGAGTAATTTCATATTTCTGAAGAATGATTCATAGTTGCAAAATTTAGCAAATTGCAGTCCTCCCTGCTAATTCATTTTATCCTCAAACAGCCCTTTTGCAGATTGCTTAATAAAATTAATTTAAATAAAGTAAATGAGGGGTGGGGGATTTAGCTCTGGTTTGGTGGCCTGCCTTGCAAGCACAAGGACCTGAGTTCAATCCCTGGTACCCCTCCACCAAAAAAATAAAGTAAATGAAAGTCTAAAAACAGCACTGGCAGTTCTGGGGTTTTTTTGTTTGTTTTTGGTATCAGGGATCGAACTGAGGACCTTGTGTTTGTAGGCAGGGGATGGAACCACTGAGCTAAATCCCCAGCTCCAGAAATGGCTGTTTTAAAAAAAAATCACAATTCAAACTATATTATTAACTTAAAAAATATACCACCCATACTTCAATTTTTTATGATTTAGGCTGTATCTCAGAACTTTTTATTTTTTTTAGGTTTTGGATTTATTAAAAACACCATTGTAGAACAGAGGCTGTGGAAGGTGTGAAATCAGGTCAGATGTGTGGGTATTGTGGAAAACTTAACTGGCCCTATGGCGCTTTACAAATTGGTTTTTGGAATAAACTGCAGGTGTAGCCTTGTTGCTTGTTTTTTCTCTCTTTTAAGAAAGGGGCCATAGAAGAAGAAAGCCAAGTTAGCTGAGCTTTTCTTTTTATTGGCTCTGGAATAACTGGAAGTTTGCTGTGCTTAGTGAATCGGAAGGGGTATGAATTGGAGAGTGAATCAGCACTGGCTGTGATTGTTTGTCCAGTTAGGGAGTGAGAGTGGGAAAAACCCTGGTTAATTTCCTCATTTCTCTTTGGCTCTGTTGTCCTCATAACTTCACATTGGATTCTATTATATAACCAACAGATGTGTAGCTTCTCAGACTGAACTGGGCTTAGGTTCATAGAAGGGGAAACGTAGCCCCAAGGCTGTGAAGTGACAGCCCAAAGACATACAGCTTGTGGGAGCCCAAGGTGCAGTCCTGCTGGTTAGTTTCCCTGCAGGCACGTTGCCCTGAGGTACATTTTGCCATGGAGGGAAGAGTTCCTTCACACCAGGTGGAATCTCAGGCACAGAGTGGCATGCATACCCAGCAGCCTGGACACGGACAGTTGGTGGGTTGCCTGGGTATTTCCTGAGGACACCTGTGTCTTTTCTTCAAGATTGACTAGTTCATTTTAACGCTAGAAAGCCATGTTTGCTACAAAAGGAGAAATAAAGCAAAATGAAAACTGGAAGAGCTTGGGTGTTTTGTCACAGAGGTGCCATGGAATTATTCCCCACAGCACTGTACCATTTGTTCTGTTCCAGGTGCTTGGTAGCCAAGGGACACCAGAGGAATAAGTGCCTGGTGAATAAACATCTGCTCCAGGGCCACTGTGGCCATCTAGAGCCCTGCTGTCCTTCTTGGCTGGGCTGTTTTGATACTTAGGAACTTACCTGCAGTTGACCAGGTTGAGGCTGTTACCCCTGAGAGGCACTTGAGTTAAGTGCCCTCTGAGTTAAGTGTTCCTTGCCATGGGGATTTGCTGCTTTTCCTTCTGAAAGTTCACATGGGACCCCACAAAGTGATGATGCACTGCTTCTGGGTCCAAGACACAAAAAAAGCCTTCTGTGCTGTGGGCTACAGCAACACAGTTGCCATTTCAAGCTGCCCATCTCTGCCTCATCCCAGCTAATCATCCCCTGGGCTCCCTCTGCCACCTTTGTGAAATGGGATTGAACCTGAGCGCTGCTGCCAGGATGCAGGGAGTAAGGCATATGAAGTACTCGAGGGGGCGCCTGGCACAGGAAGTGTTGGCTTTGTCACTAGGGTTGCTCTGGCAAGGGGGAGGGGAGCAGTGTGAATGGGGCCCTTGAAGGATGTTCGGTTTTAACTACCCACCCCTGGAGTAGGATTCACCCCACTCAAAGTGGGGAGCAAAGAAGCAGCCTCACACCTCACTGGTCACTCATTTTCTGCCCTGCTTTATTCCTGCAGGCGTCAGCCATTGCAGCCATGGAAGGTGCCCACATAAGAATGAGTCTTTGAATGTCAAGGAGTCATTCACTTTGCTTAGAACCAGTATGCCAGGAAATCATTACCAGACGTCACTTCTGGGTTGTGGAAGCTTTTGAGGGTCATTCCAAAGCAAAATATGACATAAGACAGAGGGCCTGGGCAGGTCATGATTGACTGAGTCAGGGTTACCGCTTTTATTTTTTTTTAAAAATGTTCTCTCATTATTTTGTTCCATGTGAATACTGGTAGTCAAATGCTACGGAGAGTATAGGGTGCGGGAAGGAGGAATGTAGTGTCAGTGACATAGCAAAGCTCTCTGGTCCCTGCCTACTGAGCTTGCCCATCTCAAAAGATTGTGAGAAGCAACTGTGCAAAGATGAGAAAGAAGGGAAGGTAAAGCGCCCCGGTGCTGATGGGAGTGTTGAAAACACAGCTGTATGACAAAGTGAAAGAAACATGAGGAGCCAAAGCCACTGTGGGCGTGGTGTGGCTGAGGGACTAGTCAGCCTCGTGTTTAAGAGTGTATGGATTCAGCATAGAGAAGCAAGGCATTTGGGAGGGTGTGGCTAGACCGTGAGATTACTGAAGCTTCGTCAACACCAAATTAGTTGTGGAATTCTTAGAACACGGGCGATCCTGAGTCATGGCAAGACTTCTGTATGACCTGTGGCATAAAAACAAATAAAATACCTTTTGTTTCCAGAAAGGAAGCATAAATATAATTTCGTTTCTATAATACAAGAATGAAGGTTTTTTTAAAAAAAAAACTGAAACAAGTAGAAATGTGTAAAGCAGAATGACAGCTAGTGGGCTTGCTGCCCCTACCCTTACCTCTACCCCCACCTCTGAAACTACCATGTATTCCCACATCCATAGCATCTTTTGAGATGAACTTTCTAGTAAACTTTTTGAAATAAGAAATCCTTTGCTACGAACCTCATGTCCTCTTCCTTCCCCCAGTGTATCTGATCTGTAAATTTAGATTTTATTAAATTAGGTTATCTAGAAGAGGTGTGCTTAAAACCTGGTGCGCTTCCAGAACACGTGAATGTTCTCTTCTGCACCTGCTCCACTCGCATGGTTTTAGTAGTTTGCCTGCAAAGTGTGGTGTGCTTTTGTGAAGGTGAAAGCTCACCATTGCATCTTTTTAGCACTACTTTTAAGGAAAATGCAAAAAATTGCACAGTGGTCTAATTTTTATTTCTGTTTTTATATCCTTTGAGCAGGGCTCTGGGTTGGTTTGGCTTAGGATAAGTGCCAGTGTGAAATCTCACAAATAGTGTTTTCTTTTGAAATAGGTTGTTTGCAGAGAGCTTTTTAATTTCTTCCTGTGACTTTTTTTTTTTCAGCCGTACAGTTGGTGGCGGTTTTGTAGGATCTGAGGTAATAATGTGTTTGATCAGTTGGGAGAATGCCAAACCTCTGTTGAATTTTTGTTTCCCTGAGATTGACCTGTATAAAGTTAGGGTTTGTTCTGTGTTTTTGATAAAGTATCTTTGGAAATTATAGGATAGAGGTTACACAAACTCTTAAGAAAGTGTACCTCGGCTTTTCTTCTCTTTCCCCCTGAAATGAAAAACGATACTGTGTTTCCTCCAAGCTTTATGTAGAAGCCCGTGTCTGCCCAGCTTCTTTGCATTTTAATGCTGACTGATTTGGGTTGTTGCTCTTTGCAGGTTCCTGGAGCAAGGGTGTTTGGTGACAGCTCCCAGGAGTCAGTTTGCAGAATTACTGTCCCAGAATCAGTCCAGATTGCGGGGTCGTGAGTCCCCAGGAAAGTCTGTGGAGGCGCCCAAGTGCCAGCTTGGGCGGAGCACATCTGCACGCCATTTTCAGGAACTTTTGCCACAGGTGTAAAAGCCTCTTGACCTGCTAAGATGTTGAGACAGATACTGTCGGAGATGTACATAGATCCTGACCTACTGGCGGAACTCAGTGAAGAGCAGAAACAGATCCTGTTCTTCAAGATGCGAGAAGAACAGATCCGGCGATGGAAAGAAAGAGAAGCAGCCATGGAAAGAAAGGAGTCTGTGCCAGTGAAATCCAGACCAAAGAAAGGTAAACCTAGCCACAGCTCTGCTGTGTTAGCGGGACAGATCCGGGCTTGTAACACTTCACACCAGCACAAGCTAGCCAGGTGTGCGTTGGAATTTGGTAGATGAATACTGAATGGTATTGAGACAAACGTAGTGCAGTTTATCCACTTGAAGGCTGCATGTACAGGTGAGCACATAACTTGCCCTGGAGTTGCATGGCCAAATGCAAATCTCTTCCTTGAAACCAGACTGACCTTCAACTGCAGTCAGACGTCACTTCTAGGGACCGGGGATGTAGTTCAGTAGTAGAGTGCTTGCTGAGCATGTGCGAGGCCCTGGGTTATACCCCCAGTCTCCTCTGGGGTTTGACCTGAGGGGTATTAAATTAAGAAGGGTCCCTCCCTCCATATTGTTGTAGAGCCTCAGCGTATTTATATCAGCGTCTTTACAGTCATTGCATTTGCATCCCTTAGATCTCGAGAGATTGTATGTTATCCATTTCAGGGAGTACGCCCTGTAAGGAGCTGCTGTAAGGGAAAGTTTGGTAATATTTTTTTAGGGGGACTGCATTTTCCAAATGTACTCCTTTGTGACTGAAGGAATCCCTGTTGTTTCAGAGGGTTTCTCTGTGGCCACGAGGGAGGGATACCTTGTACACAAGGATCTGCAGTACACAGGAACAGATAGTGAAAAGCACACACAAACCCTTCTCCCTTCCTACTCACCACCCCCTGTCCCAGACACGCGTTCTCTCATGGGTGACCCACTAAGTTGTTAAAACTGTGTGGCTTCTGAGGTTGGTTACAGAGGCACTGAAGACCAATTTCTTCTTATTTTTGATTGAACAAAGAAAGGTAAAAGTTTATAAAATCACTCCGGTTTTCAGAGACTGAGAAAAATAAATCTTATTTGCATACTTGGTATGCACACAAGTTCAAATTGAAGGTCAGTGTAGTCACCTTCGCCTTACACTGTCTTTCACTCAGGCTTTTTTTCAATGAAGCTTTTATACTGATTAGGAAAGAAACATGAGCATCTCATTTCTTATTGTATTATAATATAAAGTGGATATCTGTATTCACGGCTTCTGCTGATGTTTCGGTGTTTCTGTGAAGCACTATGCATTAATTAGTCTTTGCACAGTTTCTACAAAGTCAGTTTTTATTAACCAACTTTATAGATGAAGAAACCCAGGGCAGATAGCAGTAATGTTGCAAAGTCCCACCGATACATGCCTAGATCTGTCTGATTTCATATAGTACTCTCCAAAATAGAATTTTCCTTTACTAAGTAATATGTCCAGCCTGAAGCATAACCCTTTTGTCTTTTCAAACTGATTCTCACACCCCCTCACATTCCTTAGTTAGAGCTTATCAGATATAGCTGGGTCCCCTTGGGCACCACGTTCATTGCAAACATAACATGTTGATGTGGTGGGGTGACCTTGGGGATGGGGGAAAGCTAAAGATTTTTGCCCCTACAGTCAATGGCCATAGCCCTTCATTAGACTGAGGGCTTCTTGTGCTTGCTAAATTGCTCTACTTGTGATAAGATAAAAATTTCAGTTTCCTGGCTTAAATTTTTCCCTTGTAGAGTTGTGAATCTATCTCTCAGGAAAGATATTTTTACAGTTAAATGATAAGGAACAAAGTATGCTAATATAATGCGGTGACAGTTAATATCACTGTTTGGGGTCAAAAGTTGATTACCCCCTTAACTCTGTTAACATTTGGAAAATGTAGCTTGCATTAAACCAACTCCTCTTCTGATGGCAGAAAAAAGAATGGGTTTCTCCCACTTCCCCTAAACACAGTGCACTACTTTATTCTTCTGTCTTCCTCTGCTTTGGAGTAAAGCCTCAGACAGCCCAACCTGGCTGGTGCTGCCTGGAGGTGCTGAGCTAGGGACCTACTAAGCCTGTGACCTTTGGGTGCTGAGACCTCCCTGTGTGCATTTCCTCCTTTCACATCTGGGCTTTCTGCCCGCCCAGTCTTTCCGCAACCCCTGGCTTGTTCCGAGCTAAATTCTGTTTTTTCTTAGCAGTTGGTAGCCACCACGTTATGGCTTTGGAGGTTGTCATTTTCACTAAGTATAGCGTATGTCCATCCCTCATTTCTTTACACCTTTCTGCTTGTCTCTTGGAAGTTCTTTCACTGTCAGCTGGTCTTCTCTTCCCCCCTCTGTAAATAGGCAACTATGGTGAAATTTCAGGGAGCATCACACAGTGTTTGTGTACTGCGTGACACAGGAACGAGGCTCTTGCTTAGTAATCGGGCTTGTGTGGGAGAGGCTGGAAAACAAGCAGGAGGGTGGATTTAGCCAGTCAGAGAGCCGATCATTTCTGACTTCTGTAGTGGGGGAATGTGATTCTTACAGTGGGAGAGTGCCACAGAGCTCCTGTGCTTGTGAGTGAGCAGCTAGAGGGCCCTGGCTGCCTGGTGCCATTGGCCACAAGGCTGCTGACCCCGTGGCTGTGTCTGAGCTGAGGTGGGCCACATGTGTAGCTGCTGGGTTTCAAGGACCTGGTGGGAAGAAAGTAAAAACCACACTGATAATTATGCATTTATTATGTCCTGAAACGATAATATTGAGGATGTAGTGGGTAAAGCAGAATCTATTATTAAAATTAATTTCTGTTTCTTTCATTTTTTCAGTGTGGCTACTAGGAAAGTTATAATTAGGGATGTGGTTCACATTTAGACAGGGTAATTCTGTCGATAATGGTTGCTTCAGCTAGCATTTATTAAGCTGTGTATTGGACTCTTAGCTGATTGCTTTAATATATTATCTCATTAAGCAATAACAGCCAAGCCTGAAGTGTGACTTACTATTTACATTTAATCAACAAGAAAAGTGAAGCTCAGGGCCACTCACTCCCTTGCCCAGGGAAAAGAACTGGTACTTGAGAACTCAAACAGATACTGAGGCTGATTCTCCCAAAGCTGATACGCTGAGCAAGTATGCTACCTGGGAAGTTTAGCTGGGGCTTAATAAGCTACTGTTGTCTGAAGGTGCCTGGCATATGTCTAACACACGTGCTTGTGTTGGGGACCTGTCATGGAGCCTTTTCCCTGTGTGTCTTTATTGGGTAACACAAACAGAAGACTGTCACTTACAGAGGGCATCCTAGCACCTCTTTTTAAAAAATTTTTTAGGTACGGGGGATCGAACTTGGGTCCGTGTGTGTGTGTGTGTGTGTGTGTGTGTGTGTGTGTGTGTGTGTGTGTGTGAGAGAGAGAGAGAGAGAGAGAGAGAGAGAGAGAGAGAGAGAGATTTCTCTGGGTCTCAGTTGAATTAATGGGATCTAATGCAACAGATTGGGATCCGGTAGCTGTGCTGGGTGAAGGAGGGCCTGTGTTTTGTTGTGTGCCCTTAAGACAGAATCAGACTTTTGAACCTTCATTTTCTGGGTTCTCATTGTTACCAGAGGCAAGTTCCTTTATGCAGAGCCTTCCCTCTTCATGACAGAAACGATGAAGCTCTTGGTTTGTGCCACACCAGCAGTGTCTACGTCCTCCTCCCGTCCTCTCTGTCCTCTCTTGGACGCTGGGCTTGTGACGAGACAGGCAGCATCCCAGGCTCGGGGGTGAGTTAGTTCTGGACTTCTCCTTTCAGCAGCTTCATCTGACTTTATGAAAATGCTTCTCAGCTTCTCTTTTGGTCTTCCTCATGGGTCTCTTCTTCTTGCCCTCTTTCCTTTTCATCTCTGACTATATATCTGTGACGCCCCCTACCCTGGTAGTCTGTAACTTTCCCATGGGGTTGGGGGTGGCAGCTTGCTCATAGACTCTTGGAAATGTACAGGAAACTTGGAAGTGTACAGGAAAATGCACGCAGAAAACACTTTGTGTCACATTTAACAGGTCTTGCTATTCATGCCCAGACTCCCAGGGCTTCACAGGCCCCTGGTGAAGATTAAGAGTCTATGTTGTCTCCCAGGGGCAACTCTTCTGTCTCCCGAGATCAAACGCCACTTACATGCTGGCGACTCTAGCCCATATGGGCAATGAGGCCTCTCACCCAAGCTTCGGTCTCAGTGTCAATTATCTAGGGAGCATTTTTGCTAGATGGCCCAGGTGCCCTGCAAACCTGTTGCAAAATCAGACGGTCCAGTACTACCCCAGCTTTCCCTGTTGCCCCCTGCCACCCTCTGGTCCCGCCTCTTGTGCTGTCTTGATGGGAAACACTGCTCTATCCCTAGTCCCTGAATCCAGCAACCCAGGAGCCACTCTGCTTATGCCCTGACCCTCACCCTCCTACCTAGTCACTAAGTCCTACAGATTTTTCTTGCTATCCAATCCACAGAGCTTTCCTCCTGCCAACTGGTTGGTCTATTAGTACATCCCATTTATGTTAGCTTTGCATTTATGTTACTTGATTTAATCTTCACCAGAATCGGGGGAGATAAGTGTTGTCTCCTTTACTACTACAAATGAGAAAATCAACTTGCCAGGTGTGGTGGCCTATACCTGTAATCCCAGCACCTGGGAGGCTGAGGCAGAAGGATTGCAAGTTTGAGCCCAACCTGGGCAACTCAGTGACTTAGTGAGACCTTGTCTCAACATTTAAAAAGAAATATATGAAAGGACTGCAGAGGAGCTTAGTGCAAAGGCCCTGAAGTCAAGCCCCCAGTACCAGAAGAAAACAAAAAACTACAGATGCAATTTTATGAGTCAATGTTGGAAGCAGGATTTGAACTGAGGTCCAGCTCCCTGCCAAGTCTGTTCTGTACCACTGCACCGGACTTCTTGCCCCCTGCTTTAGTGCCTGTCTCGCTGAACTCTAAATAACCATTTCTGGCTAATAACTGAGCTTATCCCCTTCGGTCCTGAGCCCCATGGACTCAGCTGATCCCTCCCTCTGATCTAGTGGTTCCTTCTACTATTCTATTGAGGGTCTCATTTATCAGGCCACCACTGGCCTCCCAGAAGGGGAGTACCCTGCAGCTTCCTGAACTTCTTATTGTCTCTGAAATAAGCATAAAAATTATTAAAAATTTTTGCAGATTGACTTTGGTGCTAA